CTCTTTCTTCATGCATCCAGAGATTGCTTTGAGCCTCTGAAATGTGTGTGTTTGGGGCAGGTTACACATGTCTTAAAGAAATCAACAAGCCCTGGGGGCTGTTATTCGTCATTCCATGACGAGATCACATTAAAGCGCCAGATCCCATGATTCGTTTAAAACCTAGCCAGTTTGTAAACAAATGTGCTTGTCCCTGATGTTGCTCACCAAACATCTCTCTCTCTTCACTGGCTGGCACGTGATTAGGACTGTGCTTCTTGGTATCCTGCGTGGGATGCCAAGAAGGTGGGGCCGTGTCACCAGCTCTGGCCAGCGAGTTGTGAACAGAAGGGGCATGCACGATTTCCAGTCCCAGACATTGGTTTGCTAATGCAAGAAGCATTCTTTTACCCTGATAGGATGACTGGCAACTTTCAAGACAGTAAATGCTCTGCCAGCCAAGGTCCCAAGTTTCTATGATGGGCAGAGCCTCCTCTGCTGGCCAGCACTGGAAATGCAGCACGATGAGGTATCAACCTTGGCTGTTTCAAGCCACTGAGCTTTGGAGTTGTTTGTTATTGCAGCATAATCCAGCCTATCCCTACTGATTTAGCAAGGTACTGCCATATTTATTTGAGAGGAAAGAGAAAATAAAAGAGTTTGGGCAATCCTACATGTGCAGAGAGCCCCAGTATGGAGCTGACATACTGGGATACCTGTGAGAAGACAACCTTGGGCCAGCTGTTTCTGGTGGCTACATTAAGCTGTTTCACATTTCATTTATATTGATCAGCACCAGTTGAGTTGTAAATTTAATCATTTTGTCTGGTGGGTAGTGATTCTGTCCAGAAGGATCATCTCTGTTTATAGTTAACTCAATACTGCAGCGGGCTGTCATGTTAAATACAGGCCCTCTGTGCTTAAAAAGAAAAAGGAACTTCCTGGAGGCCAGGTTGAATGGAAGCAATGTGTCAGTGATGGGCTGATGTTGTGCCACATCACTCTAGGGGTCAGGAGCCGGGGAGCCATTTTCCAACACCAAAACCAGATCCCTCTGCATACGTGCAATCAGCCAGGTTCCTACCTGGAAGCAACTGGTCCTGGTGTGATGCATGTGGGAAAGAGGAGGCAGGTGTGCTTTGGGGAACTGTTCCCACGGGCTGCCCCTTTTCAGCACAGAGAGGCAGTGTCTCATACCCAGAGAAACAAGCCCTTAAGTCTCTCCTTGGCGATCAAGGACTTCTGGGAAGGAAGTCATGACACGGGGCTTGGCAAGTTCCCTAAAGTGGGAGCTTAACTGCCCCCCCCCCGCCATAGATGAAAATGGAAGTCAGACTAAGGAGGAATGAGTGTCGTCCATAGGAGGCAACAGCAAATCCCTCTGACCCTGGGACACCCATGGCCCAGCATCCCTGCTAGTTTAGTGCCCTGGACTCAAAGGAGGGAGAAGTGAAGTGTTCCCCTGCAGATCCACAAAGCAGACAGGTGGGGATCTGGGCACATGCTCTCTGGGGTCCTTTATGCTGCCCTCCAAGATAAGGACAAAGACTGAATAGCCTGCATTGAATTTTATGGGATGCATACAAACCAGGAGGGCCAAGCACCACTGAAAAGGGAAAAGGTGGGATTGGACTCACCACCCAAACCACCTTTTCCTTTGGATTTTGGTTCCAGCCCAGGGAAGGTAGGGGTCCAAGGACAAGACAATTTATTTCAGTTTGGGAAGGACACACTGTGGGTGATTCAGGACCTCTGGTCCCAGCCTGTGAGGACCACCCACTCTGCTTGAACGGACTGTCAGCTTTGCAACCAACACCAAAACGAGGGCGTGGAGGCAGGAGGGAAGAGGAGGGAGGTGATGGCAGGGCAAACTCCACCCCAGCCAGAGGCGGAGCGAGAGGGTGGAGGAGGGCAGTAGGGGAGGTGAGAGGGGAGCCAGGCAAGTTGGGGAGCAGCCCCTGCATCTACAGTTGTGACAGCACCTCCTGTTGCTGACCCACATGGGCCCTTCAGACAGCAGACGGCATTTCAGGGCACAGCCTTGAGGGAGGGACAGGAATTCTCAGTCTAACAGGAGATGATGTGACCAGAGCCAGTGGCATTCTGAGTTTTGATTCTATCGCCACCCCACAATCTTAGTTACAGCTCTGAGTCAGAACAAAGAACTCTGTCTGACTGATTCAAGACTGGCCTTGGTTGGAGTATAACAAATCAAACCATTTGTGAGCTGAGCTTGTAGCTAAGGTGCTTCTTACAAGGGCAGGCAGGGGTACCCGTTCTTACTTATCTTTGCATTGCTTCCCCATACAGGCCCACCTCCACATCAGACAACATTGGCATCCATTTTGCCAGGGTTCAGAGGGTGCAACCCCTTCTTTTTCTGGATAACAAGAGGCAAGAAGCTCAGTGCATCTGCTCCCTGGGTCCATGCACATGCCTGCTTAGCAGTCTGCTGCTCTAAACACTTTCCTTCCAGAGGGAGGAAGGGAAGGATGCAGCAGTGGAGTGACCCACCCTGTGCACCAATTCAGCCAACCTGGCTGCACAGTGATGCTGCTGCCCTGCAGAGCTCCCTGCCTTCCTCAGCCCAGAAGAAACTTTATCTCATCCCTGGGACTCCAGGAGCCCTAGAATTCATGGAAAACCCATGTCCTTTAGGAGGGACCCATCCTATTTTGTGGCTCAGACACAGCACGAGGTAAAGTCTAGAAACAACACTGGCAGTGACCCCTTTTAAATGAGAAAGAGCCATGGAGCACTAAAAATACACTTCAAGTCAGAAAACATGACTTCACACCAAGTCTAATCTGCCAACAACTAGCAAAAAAACCAACAAAAATCAGATTTGTTCCCTGGATCTAATTTTTTTTTAAGGGGGAAGTTATAAGTGATAGCTCTTATCACTAAGTAATAATCTTGGAAAATATAGATGATATATCTTTTAGATTTTGAAGTCAGGGAGGATTTCTTAAATAAGACATCAAAAGTGGTCATTATAAAAGATAAGATGGATAATTTTGACTGCATTATAATTAAGAACATTTCTCAAAAGCCACCATAAAGAAAGTGGAAAGAATTCATGAAATACAACCAACAAAGGATTAGTATCAAGCATGTATAAAGAACTCCTAGAAATCAATAAAAAAGCACAAATAATACAATGGGAAATTAGATAGGAGACATGAACCACCATATCATGGAAGAGAAAATACAGCAAGAAAATATATAAAAACATGTTCAGCCTCAAAGTGATAAGAGAAATGTGAATCAAAGCCACAATGATTATGCCCACTCAATTATCAACAATTTAAAAAGTTTGACGGTACCAAGTGTTAGAGAGGATGGGGATCACACGATCTCTTACTCATTGATTGTAGGAGGGTAAATTGGTCTAACGCCACTGGAAAACACTTTGGCACTAATTCTTAAAACTGAACATCCACATACCTTGTGGCCCAGGAGTTCCACTCCTAAGTGGCAAAAACTCTTGCTCAGGTTTATAGGCTCAGTGAAGATGTAAACAAAAGTACACGGCAGACCCATTCACATAACCTGGGAACAGACAAGTCCCTACAGGCAGGAGAATGGCTGAATCTGCTGTAGAACACGCTGATGGCATATTACACAAGAGCCAAAGTGGATGAACTACATCTCAGCATCTATTAGTTGAAAAAAATAAATTACAAATGATTACATATAGTATAATACCCTTTTTATAAAGTTAAAATCCAGCTAAAGCCAAGAGATAAAGAATCTAAAAAGGAAAGTAAGGGAGTGATGAATATGGATACCTTGGTAGAGGAAGGCAGGAAGCGGGTAGGGAGAGAGGAGCCCACAGGTGGACATAGCTGATTCTCATGATCCTAGTTTTCGAATTGAGTGGTGGGGTAGGGAACTTACTGTATTATTTTGAATGAATGAATGA